AATCAAGTGAAATTAATAAACGTGAATCATTTATTATTCGATTTAAACGTTGATTTAAATTAAAAAATGAATGATATATATAAACAGCTGGATCAAGTAAATCAAATACATCCATTAATATATCATCACTTAAGTCTTCAAATTTAGATATAATTAATACTGATGACATTATTTATCTATAAGGCGAAAAAAAACCAATAAGAAATGAAGGATTTAACTATCTTGATTCTATGTTTTTAGTTTTGTTTGTTTTTTTTTTTTTGTTTTTTGGAACAACAAAAAGAAATACACACGTACATACGTTTACGTCCTCCTGAGATACAACAAATAAACACAACAATAAGAAAAGAATACAGAGAATAATTTTTTGTTCCATAATCAATTAAATAAAATATTTTGGTTTTTTTTTTCCGCATTATGTTTTTGTAATATTATGTTGTGTAAAAATATTTGCATCTGTTGTATTAGCAAACGAAATAAATCCATTCGCCATTTGCTATATATAGATATATAGAATAGATTTTGCTTTTGTTAAATATAAATCTAAATAGATGTAAATAATTTAATACTTACAGTAGTTGTTGAAGGAAATGTAGTTGATTTATCGGAATGATTAGACGAAGAGGCACATGATAAAGTAAAATGATGAGTATTATCTGTTGGAAAACTTGTAGCAATATTGTTCAATGAACTTCCTGTGTAACGTAGAACAAGAAAGAATTATAGATTTTTTTTTGTTCTCATAATAAAATATAAGAAGAAATATGAATAGTAAATTGTAACTGAATGCATTTCTTTATAAGTTTTGCTCTTTTCTTTTCTTTTCGGATATATATATTCTAATAGACATATTAAATTATTTGTTTCGCTTTCTCACAGAATTCAACATAATACATGGAAAAAAATTGAAATGTGTGTAAGAAAAAAAAAAAAATTTTTTTTTTTCACACACTTATATATCGTAACAGTATTAAGAAATGCGTATGACGATATATTGGAAAGTTTAACGAAGATTTGAGAAAAAAAAAGAACAAAAAACAATAACTCGAATGATAAAAACCGTTAGCAAGAATTTCTCAAAGCCATCCCCCATCAATATTCATTCTAATACCATCATAGTCGCCACTTGCGTTCATATTATTATTGATATTGCAGCTTTGAGCAAATAGATTTGTATTTGAATGCATTGTTCCAGTAGTTATTGCCATTTGATCATTTTGTACTCCATTCCAATATTGTTCAGTTGGTGATTCATGATATTGTCCAGGTGGTACTTGCATCGGTTGATTTGGATATCTAAATAAAGAAAAACTCTATAGAAAAAAAACATTTCCAAATAATTAAACAATATCAAACCTAAAATATGGATTTTTTAGGTCAAGTATATTTTTAGCTGATATTGTTGTGCCATCAATTTGAAGAAATATTTCAACATCATAACTTTGTCTACATAAGAGAATCATGTTTTAATATACAAAAAGAAAAACAAAAAAAAAAGAATTTGAAATAAATTTTACTTTCTATTTGATTTTAATATAGCATGACCTTTAATAATTGTTCCTATATTAACTGTAAGTGGTTTCATAAATAAACATCGAACTTGATACCAATGTGTTAAAGGTTGTGTAGGTGCAGTTGATAACCATACTTGTGAACTACAAAATAAAATTAAAAAAATTGTAGAAAATCCTTAATTTATTGTATAAATTTTGTTTTTAAAATAAAACCTTGTTCCATTAAATGAAACATCAAACCAAAATGCTAAACCATGTATAACAGCTGTTGTTGTCATTTGAAATGATAATGGAATATTTATTTCATGTAAATCTTCTTCATTTGCTGTTAAAAAATTAACTGAATATTTAATTGGTCGTGCTAAACAAATTCTTATATCAAAATTATCAACAATTGGTTGTTTAAAATATTCATCTAATGCTAAATCACGTAATGTTGTTAAATCAACACCATAAAATGATTGTTGATACCAAAAATTAGCTTTACCAACTTGTTCCATATATAAAGCTTCATCTGTAAATGGTGTTACATAAAGATCACCTGTTGTTGGATACATTTTACCATTTGGTTTAAGCCATTTTTTTGCATGTAAATATGTTTCTAACATACGTTCATTATATAACATATAACCCATTGGTTCAGATACAATAACATCGACTTGTTCTGGTAATGTAATTTCTTCGATTTTACCAGCAATTACTTGTATAATATTATTTAAATGATTATTTTCAACAAGAGTCTAAGAAAAAAAAAAAATTTTTACAATTGAATTTATTTTTATATGAATGAAAATGTTCATTTTTTGTTTTCTTTTTACTTTAGCATGTTGAGCCATAGAACTTGCTTCAACAGCATAGACTTTACGTGCACCTGCTTGAGCAGCAAAAAAAGAAAGAATACCCGAACCGGCACCAACATCAAGTACAACCTAAACAACAACAACAACAAAACGAAGAATGAAATGAATAATTTTTTTAATATAAACAATAAAATGAACTAACTTTTCCAGCAAAATCAACTGTATTATCAAGAATAGCTCGTTGATAAGTTGATGTACGTATATAGTCTTGCATCATATTTTGTTGTTGTGATAAATAACCATAGAACTAATTAAACATACGTATATATAATAAAAGATCAATATTTTAATAAATACTTGAAAATATTGTACTGCTGACGATTCTTCGGTACGTTCATCGAATTGACATGACGCACTCTCTTCAATACTCTTACCGGTTTTTATTGACAAAAGAAGTTTATTGAAGTTGATTACATCTAATATGAGAACGATAGAAAAAAAATATATAAATATTTTAAAATTAAAAAGTTGTATTAAAGTAGTGAGAAATTCCTAATTGATCAATGATCACATTCAGAGTAATTTTCATATTATTTTACCAAAAAGAAAACTAAATATGATCGCAATCTTTCAATCAATGAGCGAATTTATTTAACACATTGAGATAGTATTATAAGTTATGTTTGATGTAAAATTAAAGAATCAAAGTATTAATTTCTTTGTCTATTGAAGTCAATGATCATATGTGAACGTTTTTTTTTTCTTTATACAAGCTTTGATCATTCCATCATCAATAATAAAAATAAATTTAACTTATTCAAAACAAAAAAATAATAGAGATTAGTTAAATAATCTTTTTAATGCAGTTACTTTTTGTTTTTCTGTACTTTTTCTTGAATACTTTTAATGTACTATTATGTCTTAATATTTATATTTACAAGGATTAGTTAATCATGTTCAGAGTGAGAATTAACAGAACAGATTAAATTTCTATTATTACTAAAGAAACACACATGTCAGTATTAATTATATTGATGGAGATTCAATAAATGCCATGTAACTGTTTTTATTGTTTCTCATATATTGATGTACAAAATTAGAAATAGGAGAAAATTTTCCAGTTTTTCTATTCGAAGGTAATTGACCTTTTTTTTCGGAAAACTTAATTTACCTTCTTGATTAAGAAATTTGAATAAATATGAACGATATTTTTGCTTTGGTAGTGTAAGGACAATACCGTTTACACCACAACGAAAATTTTCAAATAAATCATCTAAAGTAATTGTTAATATAGTTGATATACCTAAAACAAAAACAAACATCTTCCTTTTTTTTTTTTCAATACAAATATAAAAGTCTTAACACCTCACCATCTTTAACTATTATCGCATATTTTTTTGGTTCATTATTTTCTGTTATTAATAAAAAATTTATTGTTACTTTTTCACTTTTAAATTGTTGACCATCCAAAGATACAATATCAACACTTGAATATTGGTGCATCCTCTCTCTTGATAATTTATCTTGTCGTTTTCAATACAATAATATTAATAGGTAAAAGGATGATGACGAATAAACGAATAGTCTTGAATCGAACAACACATATATAATAATATATAAATATACAGAAAATATTTCGTATTCTTCAAAGTTACAATATGGAACGACGGAATCGTGATCACCAAAAAAAAAGAAAACGAATCAAAGAAGATGAAACGTCACAGATGACTAAGTTTTCAGAAGAATTCTTTTCTTTTACTACACTATGTACATAGGCGTGAAACTACTTAACCAATTAGAATTTTGAAAAAAAAAAAAAAGAATTCTATTCTAAAGAAAAAACCAATTAAGTTAAAAACAAAAAATAATTCTTTTAAAAGAATTAATTTTTAATTTTGAAAATTTAATTTGTTAAAATATGAATGATAGATGTCAGCAAAGAAAATTCAAACTTATTTTTTTTGTTTTCGTAGAGGAAATTAATGATAAAGACAAAAAAATGGTTAAATATTAAATATTTCTTTTTTATCTGTTGAGATAAAGCAATGAATCAGTCTTTCTTAATAACATATAAGTACATTATAGTTCGAGCTGTTCATACAGTTGACATTTCATGATATACACAGATACATTGTAACTAATATTTTCTGAAGGGAGAAGAATTTTTCAAGTGTCATCCTCATGATTTCTCTATCATTTAGTAAAACTTAAAAAAACAACACTTTGTTTTCTTAGAAAATATCAGTTAGAATATATACCTCTGTATTTGTCGTAAAACATCAAGTATATGAATATATAATTATATAATGATTTTATTTTCAGATCTTTAACATTGGTATATCAACACAATTTCTTTCAGTTCAACAAGCAACAATTACAAACAAAACGTTATAGTGATAAACGATGTTTTGATTTTACAGATATAGACAAAGAAGATTTACCACGTGAACATATATGAAAAATTATTCGTGATCGTAGTAATATGACAAATAAAAAATTTCATCATGATAAACGTATTTGTTTGGGTGTTTTAAAATATATGCCACATGCTATACTTTGAAAATATGCCTATGCCATAGGAACAAATGCGTTATGTTAAAGTTATTTATCATATAAAAGGTATAATTACATTTGTTAATGAGATTCCATGGATTATTGAACCAATTTTTATTGTACAATGTGAATTATGATGAGACGTGAAAAACGTGCTCGAAGACATTTTAAACGTATGCGTTTTCCACCATTTGATGATGAAGAACCACCAATAGATTATGTTGATAATATTCTTGATGTTGAACCATTAGAAGTAATATAATTACAATTAGATCCAGAAGAAGATCAACATATTTATGAATGGTTTTATGATCATAAACCATTAATAGATACAAAGTAAGCTATAGTTTTTCGAAAAACTTCAATAATTTCATCCATACAGGAAAAATTTTTTTCTAGTTTCGGTTGATGGATAAAGAAAAATAGTACAGAGCATTAACATTAATCACTTATGTTTTCATACATTTATTCATAAGGTAATTCAGTGATAGGAAACTATATTTTATTCTTCAATGCTGTAAATAATATTATGTATATTAACATAGAATAGAGAGAAAGTATCTTGAAATTTCTGAGAATCTATTCATTCGTAAGTTTATTGTTTAGAAAAATATATTCTCAGTTGATTGAGTTTGTATATGTATGTTTTTCTCTTCAACCATATCTTTCATTATTAGGGGAAAGAAACAAAATGAACTCATTTAAAGCTTTATTTCTTTACTTAAATGATTGACTGGTCATCATCCCATAGTATCCTACAAATGTCTTCTACGTCTCATATCTGAAAGAATGAAACTATATCAATATTTGGTGGAAACTATTGGAAATTAATATATTTTAAGTTACTACTAAACATATTATGCTAATGAATCATATTTTCAGATGGTTACTTCTATGAATAATAAATCTGAAAATATTCCAATTTCTTAGAAGATTTGTTTTTCATCTGTAAAACTTTGTACAATACGTTGCAATGATCGTTTCAGTAATAAGAAATCTTCAAATTTACTTAATAAATCATATTGCGCGGGTCAAAATACTCAAAAATACCAACTGCCGATCAGTAGCAGTGAAGAATAGTTGAAATTTGTTGAGTATTTTCAACCTAACACGATGATTTATTCAGAAAATTTGAATATTTTTTGTTACGAAAATGATCATCGCAATGAGTTCTAGAGGCGAAAAAAATCTTCTAAGAAACTAATCTTTTTTTCTGATTAATCTCGCATGACAGCATCTATCCGAAAATATACTTCGCAAGCATTTTATTATTGGTAGTAAGGTTAATCATTGTATAACTAATAAGCTACCTGGTCGAAACATGTTCGGCATAAGGACATCTAAAGTAGCTGTCCAAATCTTGAGATGAAACCATATTTTTTATGTTTGCCTTATCATCTTTCCTTTTTCTATCTATTATTCTTCAACATATGACCTAATTTAGTTTCTCATTGGGAGAAAATAACGAATTTGCTTAGAAGAAAATAGTCAACACAATTTTGTTTTGACATATGCAATCTGTTCCACCGGAGGATTAAAAATTTCCAGGAAGAAATGTAAAAGACAAGAAAAGTTTAAGAGAAACAAATGACTGCTTTGTTTCCCAATAGTATGGTCTGAAAATACATAATATATTTTTGTAGTATATTTTGGTTTTAATATCATTTATCTATTTTAAGAATGATAAATGATTCAACATATCGTCGATGGCAATTAACATTACCAATTCTTTCAACACTTTATCGTATGACTAATCAATTATTAACTGATTTTGTTGATGATAATTATTTTTATTTATTTGATTTAAAATCATTTTTTACTGCCAAATCACTTAATGTTGCTATACCTGGTGATCCTAAATTTGAACCACTTGTTAAAAAAATTAATTCAAAGTAAATATTTCTTTTTTTTTTTATTATTTTTAAAAATATTTTCTATTTTTTTTCTTTTTAGTAATGAAGATTGGAATGAATTTAATGATATAAATAAAATAATAATACATCAGCCAATACGTACAGAATATCATATTGCATTTCCATATTTATATAATAGCTCTTCATATAAACTATATCTTTCATGGTATCATATACCAAATGTTGTATTTATAAAAACTGAAGATCCAGATTTACCAGCTTTTTATTTTGATCCATTACTAAATCCAATTACACAACATCATATAATAAAATGCATTAATGTACAAATTGATGATAACGATGAATTTATTTTACCTGAAAAATTTCAACCATTATATACAGAGAATACAACAAATGGTATAACATTATTATGGGTATCACGTCCATTTAATCTTTCGTTCTGGTCGAACACGACGTGGAATTGATATTCCATTAATTAAAACATGGTATCGTGAACATTGTTCAATTGATCATCCAGCTAAAGTTCGTGTATCATGTCAAAAATTATTAAAATATTTTGTTTTAAATGCATTACATCATCGTAAAAACGTTATTTATTTCGTTCATTTAAATCAACAACATTAGATTGGTTAAAAGTTGGTTTACAAGTTTGTCGTTAAGGTTATAATATGTTAAATTTATTAATAAATCGTAAAAATTTAAATTATCTTCATTTGGATTATAATTTTAATTTAAAATCAATTAAAATATTAACAACAAAAGAACGTAAAAAATCACGTTTTGGAAATGCATTTCATTTATGTCGCTAAATATTACGTTTAACTAAATTAATTGTTGATTGTCATGTACAATATCGTTTAGGTAATATTGATGCATTTCAATTAGCTGATGGTTTACAATTAATACAACGTGCATTTAAAGAATGTAAAATTGAATTTACGGATTTATATTATCATTTAATACCGGTTTATGATGTTGAACCATTAGAAAAAATAACGGATGCTTATTTAAATCAATATTTATGGTATGAAGCTGATAAACATAGACTTTTTCCAGTATGGATTAAACCAGCTGATAGTGAACCACACCTTTACTTGTTTATAAATGGTGACAAGGTAAGATATTTGTTTTTTTTTCAATATTATATGTATTGATAATTAATGTTTTTCAATATAGGTATAAACAATCTTCAAGATATTTGGAATACAAATGAAGGTGAATGTAATGTTATGATTGAATATCATTTTGAAAAAATTCTATGAAAATATTAACCTTACATTATTAAATCATTTACTTCGTCTCATTGTTGATCATAATATAGCTGATTATATGACAGCAAAAAATAATATTGTTCTTACTTATAAAGATATAAATCATGTTAATTCATATGGTATTATACATGGTTTACAGTTTTCTTCATTTATTGTACAATATTATGGTCTTATTATTGATTTATTAATATTAGGTTTACAACGTGCATTCGATATAGTTGGTTTACCTCAAAAACCAAATGAATTTTTAACTTATCAAGAAGTTACCATTGAAACGGCACATCCAATACGTCTCTATTGTCGATATACAACTGATGAATCTCGTAATTTAATACAACGTTATTTAACTAAACATCCTGATCCAAATAATGAAAATAGCATTGGTTATAATAATAAAAAATGTTGGTCACGTGAATCACGTATGCGTTTAATGAAATATGATGTTAATTTAGGTCGTGCTGTTTTTTGGGATATTCAAAAACATCGTTTATCACGTTCTTTGACAACAATTTTATGGGAAACAAGTTTTGTTTCTGTTTATTCAAAAGATAATCCTAATTTATTATTTAATATGTGTAGTTTTGAATGTCGTATATTACCTAAAATACGTATGATAGATGAAGAATTTATACATAAAGATACTATTTGGAATTTACAAAATGAAATAACAAAAGAACGTACAGCATCTTGTTTTTTTACGTGTTGATGATCAATCAATAGATCGTTTTCATAATCGTATAAGACAAATTTTAATATCATCTGGTTCAACAACATTTACGAAAATAGTTAATAAATGGAATACAGAATTAATTGGTTTAATGACTTATTTTCGTGAAGCTGTTATTAATACACAAAAATTATTAGATTTACTTGTTAAATGTGAAAATAAAATTCAAACACGTATTAAAATTGGTTTAAACTCAAAAATGCCTTCACGTTTTCCACCTGTAATTTTTATACACCAAAAGAATTAGATGGTTTAGGTATGTTATCAATGGGATATGTTTTAATACCACAATCAGATCTTCGATGGTGAAAAAACAAACTGATACTAGCATAACACATTTTCGTTCTGGTATGAGTCATGATGAACCTAATTTATATCGTTATATTATGCCATGGGAAGCCGAATTCATTGATTCACAACGTGTTTGGGCTGAATATGCACTTAAACGACAAGAAGCTAATACATTAAATAAACGTTTAACATTAGATGATCTTGATGATTCTTGGGATAGAGAAATTCCATGTATTAATAGATTGTTTCAGAAAGATCGACATGTACTTGCTTATGATAAAGGTTGGCATGTACGAATTGATTTTAAACAATATCAGGTAAGAATTTAATTTTTTTTCAATTCAAACAGTATCGATATTATGTCGAAAGAAATATTCTACATTCTTATTATTTTTTTTTGAATACAGATGTCTATGATTCTAAAAAATCGTTTTTCTTTTATACCGAATTAGATTAATTTCATGTTGAACATTGTGGAATGAATTATTTCGAAACGTCTGTCAAACTAAAGTGATTAAAAAGCATTTATCTGTTAACATTTACTTAAGAGTTAGTTAGAGAAGAAAAAAAACTAGAAATATGTAGGATAAGGGTAAGAGAATTTTTCTCAGTCGGAATACATAAAAAGCTAATCGTGTACATCTCTAGATAAAGGGAACTCAACATCACTAGAAGACTTTGAGCTTCATCTAGAAGCTCTAACAGAGGGGTTTTGCCTTTTGGTACTTATTTCTATTTACTCCATAAGATTACATAGAAGTCGAAGATTTTCAAGAATAATTTTAGAGATATCGAAAAATGAATTTTGTATTTGATTGATTAAATAAAGTATTCATTATGTTTTAGATTCTCAAACAAAATCCATTTTGGTGGACATATTAACAGTATATATATTTATTAGGATCAATTGATATGACTTTATTTGTTTTCTAATTTTTAGACATGATGGAAAATTATGGAATTTGAATAACTATCGTTTTGAAGAATCAATGTGTTGGAAAAACTTAACTATTGCTCAACGTTCAGGTTTAAATCAAATTCCAAATCGTCGTTTTACATTGTGGCGGGGTCTAACAATAAATCGTGCTAATGTTTATGTTGGCTTTCAAGTTCAACTTGATTTAACAGGAATATTTATGCATGGAAAAATTCCAACGTTAAAAATATCATTAATTCAAATATTTCGTGCACATTTATGGCAAAAAATTCACGAAAGTGTTGTTATGGATCTTTGGTAAAGAGTTTAATTTGAATTAAAATAATAGAAATTATATTTTGTCTCTCGCTTTTTTTTAGTCAAGTATTTGATCAACAATTAAATGCATTAGATATTGAAACTGTAAAAAAAGAAACGATTCATCCAAGAAAATCATATAAAATGAATTCATCATGTGCAGGTTGCACTTCTATTTTTTTTTTGTTTTCTTTTCTATTTTTTCAACTTTTTCATTTCGTTTAGATGTTCTTCTATTTGGTGCATGTAAATGGAATATAAGTCAACCATCCTTATTAGTTGATTCAAAAGATGTTATGGATAATACAACATCTCAAAAATATTGGCTTGATATTCAATTACGTTGGCGTGATTATGATTCACATGATATTGAACGTTATAGTCGTGCAAAATTTTTTGATTATACAACAGATAATATGTCGATTTATCCATCACCAACTAGTGTTATAATTGCTATTGATTTAGCTTATAATTGGTACAATGCATTTGGAAATTGGTTTCCTGGTTGTAAAACACTAATACAACAAGCTATGGCTAAAATAATGAAAGTAAATCCAGCTTTATATGTTGTACGTGAACGTATACGTAAAAGTTTACAATTATATTCATCTGAACCAACAGAACCATATTTATCATCACAAAATTATGGTGAATTATTTTCAAATCAAATTAAAACAAATTATTGTTACCCGTAAGGGTATGTTGGATCCATTAGAAGTTCATTTACTCAGTAAGTTATTTTATTTTATTTTATTTTTATTCTATAAGAATATCTTGACGAAACAATGAAATCTTATTCTTGTTCAGTATAGATTGTAGTAGACGTTAAAGTGATACAATTGAGTAAAAGCTAAGAGCGATAGTCTCACAAAGAAATGTACTGAATATGAGAAGTGACATAAATGTAATCTCAAGTATCATCAATAATGCCGATGAATACTGAAGAATACTTTGGTAATAATTGATTTTTTCTATATTAAGACGCTATTTTATTAAACAAAGAACCATCCGAACTGGTACTCGCCGTTTGAGTTCTTATTGAACCTACGAGAATGTCTTGGCGAAGATAATAAAAGTCTAAAAGTTGCAACAAAAACAGTTTTCTTGTTTTTGAGATATTTATTGTCTCAAAAATAATCGTTGACTACAAGACATAATATAAAAATCAAGTTTATTCGAAAATTTCATATTTCGACAAAAAAAAAGATATTTTCTTCGACTGAAACTTTCAGGATATTCCATAATAGATCTAATAGACCTATCTAAAAGCGAAATTTCAGGTCAAAATTACGTTACTTATTTTTTCACTAAATATATCAAAATGAATCAGAAATTCAACAGAACAATCACAACTTGGCTCTAAATACCCACGGGGACCAACAATTTTAGACACTCGAATGTTACCCATGTGTCCATGTTGGCTTAATATCAACTCAAACTATGAATATTAGGACTCAGCTTAGGATGGGAAAATTCCATCCTATTGGATACAACTCTTTAAGAAAGTGTCCCATGGGACGATTTTGTTGCTGTCTCACCTCATCCCATGCGAAGCTGCGACAAGTATCAGTTAGGATAATATCTTCGAAAGAGAAAATTTTCATCCATTAATCAACATGTTACTTACTTATTGACTCGAACAAGATTCTAACACACATACAGATTTCTATTTATGTTAGTAAAGATAAACAAAGTGTCAACGCTTGTCACTTATTATCAAAATTGATTATTAAAATTTTGCTGTTTTCCGAAAAAAAAAGAGTATCATGTTTGAATTTGTTTTTTTTTTACAGATTTTCCAAATATAGTTATCAAAGGTAGTGAATTACAATTACCATTTCAAGCATGTCTTAAAGTTGAAAAATTTGGTGATTTAATTCTAAAAGCTAATGAACCACAAATGGTTATGTTTAATTTATATGACGATTGGTTAAAATCCATTTCATCTTTTACAGCATTTTCACGTTTAATTCTTATTCTAAAAGCATTACATGTTAATAATGATCGAACCAGAGATGTCCATCGCGGCGCGACCGCAGCCGCTACCGCCACCGCGCCGCTGCCGCTGTGGCGGCTGTTTTTTTCAAATAACCATCGCGGTGCGGCGCGGCAGCAGTCGTTTTTTTAACTAACTATCGCGGCAGCGGTAGGTTTTTTTGAAGAACAATGCAAAAATGCATGAATTCGAACAGAATTTCAATGTTTGCAAGTGCAAAACTATGAGATTCAACGAATCTTACCGATTGGTAACAACAGCTCCAGTCCTGAACAGTCACAGGTCGTAAAATTCACAACATTATTCTAACAATCATCGCGGCATGGTTGTTTTTGGTGGTGTCGCGGCAGCGTTGCGGTAGGTTTTCTGTTTTTATCACCGCGGTGCTGTAGCGGCGCGGCAGCGGTCAGTTTTCAACCGCGATGGACATCTCTGCATCGAACTAAAATGATTTTAAAACCTAATAAAACAATCATAACAGAAAATTATCATATATGGTCAACATTAACAAATGATGAATGGATTCAAGTCGAAATTTTATTAAAAAATTTAATTTTATCTGATTATGGTAAAAAAAAATAATGCTAATATTGCATCATTAACACAAAGTGAAGTACGTGATATTATATTGGGTATAGAAATAAGTGCACCAAGTATACAACGGCAACAAATAGCTGAAATTGAACAACAAACAAAAGATTCATCACAAATAATAGAAACAACAGTTAAAACATTTAATAAAAATGTTGATGAAATCATTGTAAATGTTAGAAGTAATTATGAAAGACAAACATTTGCATCTAAAACTGATTGGCCTATACGAGCTATATCAACAACTAATTTATATTTACTTACAAATCATATTTATGTTTCATCAGATGATATTAAAGAAGCAGGTTATCGATATATTTTACCAAAAAATATTTAAAAAAAATTTATTATTATATCAGATCTTCGTACACAAGTAAGATTTTAATTGAAGTTTTTATTATATTTTATGTTTTTATTTTTTGTTTTATAGATTGCTGGTTATTTATATGGTATTAGTCCACCGGATAATCCAAAAATAAAAGAAATTCGTTGTTTGATTTTACCACCACAAAGAGGTACACATGAAATTGTTTATTTACTAAATTTATTACCACAATATGAATATATTAAGGTAAGAAAATCTTGATGCATTAACGAGATGGCATTAGAAGACAGCAAAAAAAAGAAACAAAATAAACCTATTCAATAGCACAGTCAGGATTCTCCTTTCAAAGAATATCAATTCCATAGTTTCTTATTAGATCTACTAGTTGAAGCTGTTGCTTTGAAACAAAAAAACATTTTCTAATGATCGATAAAGAAAAAAAAAACAAACTTATCTTCAATTCATATAATCCGCTGTCATTTCTTTGAAAAACACTAATGAAGGAATATATCCAAGTGTCGAACTGTTTTTGAATCTCGACTATGTGCATCACATCACGTAGATCCTAATGAAGAATAAGTACTCTGCAACAAATTTGGGCTCATGGTTTATTATTGTCGAGGTATTGTAATTTCGACTTGAAACTTTTTACAGAAGCAAGACTTGCCAAAAACAGCTTATTGTCAAAGTTACAGATCATTTTTTTTCTTCTATTCTAAGGTTTTAACTTCTCCTATATACATTCGGTAGATTCCGATATTCTTATTTCAGAATAAAAGCAATCAACAAAAATCTGAAAATTTCACAGTAAACTATTTTCATTAGAGTCTGTTTCTGTGCGAAGTTCCAAGTCATAATTCCAAACTGCGATTTCTTGGTGTGCCTGAGAGGAGATTACGGCATTATAGTTAAACAAAACCCGTGAAATTGCAACATCTCGGCAACAATATATCAATAGCCCGAACATTTTGCAGAGTATTTATAACTCATTTAGGATCTATGTGATGCGTATCGTCCTGACTCAAAAGCGATTTGACATTCGTATGTGTTCTCTTGTTAAAAAAAGAAATACATAACTTTATCTGAGAGACATGCAAAATGTGGCTAAATTAGAAAAAAAAAGCATTCTTTATTTAGGACATGTCTTTTCCAGACGTTTAAATCTAAACGTCCAAATCTTTCACATATGCTAAACTTGCAAGTCGAATTGGATTACTGAAGAATTAGAAAAAAAACAAACTTTACCCACATAAGAAACTTTTTCTATACACGTAGCATCCCTCAAAGTGCCCTAAGCCATACTCGTTGCTGTGTACACAGTAAAGTCTGTCCTTATTTTATGTTTTGACACTGCTAAGAAGCCATACAAGTTCGGACATATTGGAAAAAAAGAACATAAATTTATACGGATCAGAAGAGTTTAGACGATTTCTTTTATCATTTTTTGACTAAAATAATAAACTAGATGGACTTATTCAATTTCTAGATAATCTTATAAATCATCTATTTTTTTCTACTTCAATAGAATATGGAACCACTTGGATGGATTCATACTCAACCAAATGGATTACCACAATTATCACCAAAAGATATAATAACACATGCTAAAATAATGCATGATCATAAATCATGGAATGAAGAAAAAACAATTATAATAACATGTTCATATACACCTGGTTCAGTTTCATTAGCTGCTTATAAATTAACACCAAGTGGTTATGAATGGGCTTGATTAAAAACTGATCCTGAAAATAATCTAAAAGGTTTGATATTAAATTCTCATAATAATAAAATATTTATTCGAAATTGTTTTCATATTTAGGATATGATCCATCACATTATGAAAAAGTTCAAATACTCTTGTCGGATCGTTTCTTTGGATTTTTTTATGATACCAGGACAAGACTTAATTTTATGGTAAACTAATACTTTTTATATTTATTTGTTATGATATAAGTTTTTCTTTTATTCTATTTTTAGGGTGCTGCTCGTCATGATGCTAATATGAAATATGATGTAATCTTATCAAATCCAAAAGAATTTTATCATGAAAATTCATCGTCCATCACATTTTCTTAACTTTTCCAATGAAGAAAATCCTGATACCTATACAGCTGAACATGAAGATCGATTTAATTAAACATACAAACAATAAAAACAACTGGTTATTCTTTATTTTATTCTTCTCTTCTACAACAAAAAAATGCCTGTGATATTACATTGTGATAATTCTTATTCATATTGAGTCATTCTTTTTATTTTCTTACTTCTTTTTTCTTACATGAGAATAAAAAGTCATGTATAACATATGACGACATCTATCATTGTTGATTCAGTTTGTTTTTTTTTTCTTCTTTTCATTCGTGAATAATGGAAACAAATCTCTATGAATAATAATTACAAAGAACAAATTTTGAGTCATCATTTTTCTATATTCTAGATTATTCTCATTAGGATTATTTTAATCAAATTTTTTTTTTACTCGTATTTTTAAAAAAAATGAGTGAGAATAACAATGAACAAATGGATGTTGGAACAGGTTCAACAAGCAATGATAATGTAACTGATGTTGTTGAAACAGCACCTACTACTACTAGTCCAAATCCTGATGAAGTTAAAACTGAAAATATAACATCAAATTTAAAATTAACAATAAAAACACCAAAAGAAAAAAAAGATATTTCAATTGATGAATCGTCTACTGTTAAACAAGTAAAATGAAATTCACTTCTGTTTTTTTTAATATTGTTTTTCCTTCTATTAGTTAAGAGATATTGTGGCTAATGAATTTAATGCATCAATTGATCAAGTATGTCTTATTTATTCGGGTAAAATTCTCAAAGATGATGAAGATCTTAAAAAACATGGTATGAAATAAAGAAATCATTTTATTAAAAGTATAGTTTTCGTCTATTTTTATTTTTCTTTTTTTAATTAATAGATATAAAAGATGGTGTTACACTTCATTTGGTTATTCGAGCACCTAAAGCAGATTCAACAGCAGCAAGTACATCTGCTAATGCAACAGCAACAACAACAACAACTACTGCTACTAGTGATACACAAGCATCAGCTAATCGTCCGAATACAGCGCAAACAAATACAAGTGGTTTTCCATTTGGTCTTGGTTTAACACCTGGAATGGGAAATTTAAATTTTGCTAATACTAATTTTCTTGATATGCAACAACAACTTCAACAACAAGTAAATATATATATTCATACATTATTGTAATATTCAATTTTGACTTGAATAAGTCAAATGCATTATGCTCACTCTGATGTTATACGCAGAAAAAAAACACTATAGTGATAGTTACATTCCAAAATAACACTACAGAGTTATGAAAAATTTAAAAAAAAATGAATCATTTAGAAAAGATATTTCGAACAGAGAACATCATAAGAACCTTTTCTTCGTTCTATTCGATTTTCTGCAGAGACGATCTTTTCATTTTTTTGAAAGAGATATCATGCATGTCTATATATGAGGTCCGATGTCAATAAGATGAGCGAAGCAAACATAGAGATAAGTTTTATTGTTTTTTCTGTTGAGTTTTTCATAAGAACGAATCAATAGCGTTGTCTATTTGACTTGGTGATAAACATGTTTGTCTTTGAATAAATGTCAATCTTGCTGAATTAAATACTCTTTTCACCGAAGCATTAATCGCTAGTATAGCACATACTCTTCCGACTACTATGAATAATGATCGAATCATGATCAATTCAATGACATGAATGTTCTGCGGGACTCAAATATTATCCTGCATCATCAAGGAAAAAAGAGTGTCCTATTATATACTCTAATTTTAAAGTCACTAGTCGTTTTATTAGATATACATTTTGGTAATTTTTTCTATAGATAATGAGTAATCCAGCACAACTTCGTCAGTTAATGGAAAGTCCTATGGTACAAAGTATAACAAGTAATCCAGATTTATTACGTTCATTATTGCTTAGCAATCCACAAATGCGTGATTTAATGGAGGTAAATTAATTGAATATTGAAAAAATTTGTTTTTCATATTAAAAAAAAAAAAACAAAAAATTAATATTTTAAGCGCAATCCTGAAATATCACATTTACTTAATAATCCTGATTTACTTCGACAAACAATGGAATATGCTCGTAATCCAACAGCATTACAAGAACTTATGCGTAATCATGATCGAGCTTTAAGCAATCTTGAAGTAAATATTTATTTTTATTCTTAATCATATTTTATTATTATTATTAAACATTGTCTTTAATAGAGTATTCCAGGTGGATTTAATGCTTTACAACGTATTTATCATGATGTGCAAGAACCAATGTATTCAGCAGCACAAGAACAATTTGGTAATAATCCATTTACACAATTATTTACTGGAAATGGAGGTATTTTAAATGTCTTCATTTTTATATTTTGATTATTTTGTTTTTTGTGTCATTGTCATCATAGAAAATACATCTGCACCACGTACGGAAAACACTGATCCATTACCAAATCCTTGGGCACCTCGAGGTACTGCTGGAGCAACAGCTACTGCAACTAATCGTCAACAACCATCATCTAATACACCAAATAATCAACAACAACAACAAATACCATCAGCAATTCCAACTGGAGCTGCTGGTAGTTCACCCGGTTTAATATCTCCAATGATGCAAAATTATATGTCACAATTAGTTCAAAATCCTCGTTTACTTGAAAGTGTTCTTAATGCACCATATATGCAACCATTAATGGATTCACTTGCTGCTAATCCGGATATATCAAGACAAATGATTGCAAATAATCCAATGTTTGCTAATAATCCTGAACTACGTGAACAAATGATAAATGCTTTACCAGCTATGATGGAACAAATGAGAAATCCTGAAGTACAAGCATTAATGCAAAATCGTGAAGCACTTGAAGCTATTACACAAGTTCAAGAAGGTTAGAATATTAATATTTAAAACCAAAAAAACAAAAAAAAAGAAATAAATTCACTATTTTATGTATAGGACTTCAACGTTTACATGCAGCAGCACCGAATCTTTTTCAAGCGTAAATTTATTAATAAAATATTTTGATAAAACAAAAAAAAACGAACATTTTTTCTTTCTATTAATTTAGTGGTGGTTTACCTGCTGGTCTTCGCTTTGGTCCAACTGGTTTAGCTTCACCAACTGCTACTGGGGGTTCAACAAATAATGCTTCATCTTCATCTACATCTACAACATCAACTGGTCCAGCGCCATTGTCAACAAGACCTACTGGCGATACATCATCATCAACTGATTCAAGCAATTATGCAGGTGTATTTGCTCAAATGTTGAATATGATGTCAAATCAAAATATTGTATGTTTTTATTTTAATAAACAAGTTTTTATTTATTTTATATTTATTCTATAGAATACACCACCAGATCAACGTTATGCTGTTCAATTAGAACAACTTGTTTCAATGGGTTTTACTAATCGTGAAGCAAATTTACAAGGTAATCAATCAATGAATTGTTTTTTTTTTTTTTGTATTTAACTTTTTATTTTTTTTTTAGCACTTACAGCAACAATGGGTGATGTAAATGCTGCAGTTGAACGACTTCTTGCCCAAATCTAACTTTTTTTCAATATATTAATGCGGTCATTTTCTTGTCTTTTTCTTTTTTTCCTATTCATGCTACAAAAATGTCTTCTTTTTCTTTTCATCATATTTGCTCGTTTCATTCAATCTTGATAGACTTTTCTTTGCTGAGCAGCAACACACACACACACTCTCATATATATATATATATGCAGACATTGACGAGCAATTTGTTTGTTCATTTCTTTTCTTTTATTCAACTTCTCTTTTTATGTGTGGGCATGAATATTTGCATGGAGAAAACACACAAAAAAGTTCTGGGAAAAAAATGTTCCTGTATGTATTCACATATTTTGCAAAAAAAAAAAACGTCTTTGTGTTTTTGTCGTCGTCTGTTGTCTATGTATATGTGATTGTCGTATTTGTATAAAGCAAAAGAAAGACCATTTTTCAATTTAAAACTATAAGTAATCATAAATGCTATGAGATTTCAATACAATGAATAATTATTTGAGATATGAGATTTGATTTAAGCATTTTTCTCTTTGGTTATTAAAACAATATTGAAATTCAATCAATTGAAATTGTTCATGATCGGTAATTTTCTAAGAAAGATCAAATCAAGTGATTTTTGTTAAGATAATCCTACTAGATTATTCTTTTACAAAACGAATTTTATATGTAATAAAACTCTACTTCTCACAATGAATTGATGTTTCGATGATGCTGTTGAATCTTTTTGATTAACTGACAGATTTATATCGAATGAACTCAATAAACTGATTTACTCGTAACATAAGCTGATAGTAGACCTGATATAAATAGAAATGAACGAGTCAAGTCAAGTCTGACTTGACTCAAAACCAGCAACGACAGAATTCAACAATTTTGATAATGGATTCAACTAAACCTCTATACGACCCAAGGCCGGGTAAAAAAGTCGGCTGGCTGCAAGAAACGGAAAATATAGCAGTATGATTTTATACGTCTACTAGTGCTAGCTGGGGACTTGGAAGTACGTCCCTCTAAAAATTATATCGCTAAACTACATTTTTCGCGTTCTTTTGAATGATGTACTTTTATTGAATCAGCAAGAAAAAAATTTTGGAACCAATTGATATGTTCAAGTATACGTTCAATATCAACTGATAGATTATATATATGTATTATTCTTTTTTCTGTTTCTGTTTCACATATTTGACTTTATATGGGGTGAAGCATTTCTGCTTGAAGTGAAACAATTTCCCGATCGATTGGTCCAATAGTTCACTGCTGTTTAGAAATCGTTATGAAACTGTATTTATCATTGTTGATTCATTGCAAATAAATTAAACCAAAAAAAAAGCCGCGCGCTATTCAGATGAATTCTGCAATTTTAATAATTGATAAATGAATCTTTTCTGTGATTTATTCGATAAATTTCATTCTTTCCTTTTCACTAGAATGACAAGATGAAAAGCAAAAGAATATGGAGAAGACATCAATGTATTTATCTCACACTATTGTCGTGTACGTGTTTCTTTGC